AGACAAGTACAAGAGGCCTATGGCCGGTTAGCGCTAACCTACATGCGGATACCTCTATATGGCTTAGCTCTGGAATGTCGAGCGGGCTGCAGTGCAAGGACCGTTTATAATAAATTAGAGTGCCTCCCAGACGGTTTGCTAACCGGTCGTGGCGGACTATATTATAGTTTGAGATTCTGGGATCGCGTACGCTAGGTTTTAAGAGTGTCTCTTGCACTAGAAAAATATCTACACTATAATCGCGGAGGAATTCCGAGATTTTGTCCCTTTGACCCTTAATGCCGTTTGCGTTGAAATACGAAACAACCAGAGCCCGAGGTTTAGATCTACCTGCGGATGTACTTTCCATAAAAGGTTTTTATAGTTTCTAATTAACGACGCGGCGGAGCGCGGTTTTATTGCGCGGACTATAAAGTTTACGGCTGGCTTGTAAATACCCAGAGGGTCTACAAGTGTTTTATGGTCGCGAATAGCTGTGAGACGCTCGAGGCCAAATGTGGCGGCCGATAATTTATTGGACAATACGGCGAGCTCTTGTCTATTTATGCGGTCTAATAAGCCGCAGATTTTTGCGATTTGGGCGAACGGGTCGTCATTGTTTCCGGTGAATACCGGTGGTGTTGACTGCACCTGCGGCCTCGCCGTCTGTTGAATGGCGGGCTGCGATTGGGCTAACATTGGTCGTGAGGCGACCGGGGGTGCGACTACCTGGGGTTTCGCCCAGGCGTTTACGACGAGTGCAGGTGCGGGAATGAATTTCACAGATTTAGGTAATAAAAAAGATTTCGCGGGAGTTTTAGGGGCCTTAGCGCAGCCCCTGTAGCTAGCCGGGTGGCCGGTGGTATGACAATTGACGCAGTCCGGTGGATCTGCGCAATCTTTCGGCCGCGTACAGTCGGGCGTGCCGTGGTCACCGGTGCATTTGACGCACCTAGGGTGAGCGATGCAATTATTAGCCATGTGGCCATAATGTTGGCAGTTGTGGCACTGCGCCACAACTCCTAACCTACGCGGGGGCTCGAAAACGAGGTCGCTGAGCCCACAAACCCTCTTCAGGTGTAAGATGGCCTTACCTTCCGCGGTAGGGTCAAGTTCAACCATCACCATGTCCATAGGGACACGGGTTCTGGGGTGCCTGAGGCGTTGTACAGCATGCACAGGGTATCCCTGAGTGCGGATGTCGGTTTTCGCCTTGTCGACATCCGACTCTTTGGGGACGCCCTTGATAACTACCCGAAGCTTGCGTTCTTCGGGCAAAGAGTAAGTGTGAAAATCTTATTTTCGCGCAAGTATTTCGTTACGCGGCGGAAATCGTCCGTTGTGTCAAGGTATACGCGGATACCTATTTGTGTATTTTTCGACCGGGGGTCGCGGATATTGTGGCGTTCAAATCACGAAGAAATTTGGTGCCACTTAGCCTTCTCCTGAATGATGATGGGTGGAGGAGGCTTTATTTTTCGCTCGGAGGCGAATTCGGGCATCGGTTAGTCGCCGCGGCAGCCTTTTTAGCGGACGTCGCGGTGGGACGGATCGTTGAGGCGGCCTCGCATTCGGAGTCGCTGTCGGTAGCGGGGTGTTTCTTGCCCTTTTCACGCGATTTACCGACGGTGAAGCCGTCAGCATTCGCGTTTTCAGCGGGGGTCGTTTCGACCTCCATGTCCGATCCGCCGTCCGATTGTGAGTCGGGTACGACGGAGCGAAAAGAGGTCGAGTTTGGTTGCGCGGAAGGCGCTACGGGCGAATTCGCTGCAGCGGATGCCGAGCGCTCCTAAGGTCATGGAGGGCGATAGGGCGGCATTCATATTCAAGAATTCAAGAACATTTCATTCATAGGCAAGAAAACGTTCCCACATAGCATTCTTTGCGTACGAACTCCTCGAAAAGGGAGCCCATCCCGACGTAAGTGCCTTTAGGGCTTGTAGCCCCGCCGGCGTGTATGAGCTAAATAAGCCTCCCCACCTTGCGGCAGGGAGGAGTGTGCCTAAAAATATCAACTAATTTGCCTGCGCTTTAGGTGCGCTAGGGTGGGTACCTAGTTGTCGCCTATTGCAACAAGCACACAGTTAATAAATGAAACGATGCCCCCTCTGAGGCGAGAAGTGTGTGTAGGATTCTACTTACAAAACGGGAACCTGCCTACGAGCACAACACTACACTAACACTAAACTACTGCACTATTTGCACAAGATTTAAATTGCAACCGAGGTTGCGAGTAGCGTCTAATTCGGGTGGCATGTGCCTCCGTCTTAGAGAGATTTCCGTTCCGTACGAGAGCACGAAGCGGAAATCCATTGTGCAGGTAATACCTAAACTGACCACTTTTTTTCTATCTCAAAACAGGCCATTGATTTACAATGAAAATAAACATAAGTTTTTAATTTTCTTTATTCCGAAAAGATTAAAAATTAAAAGATACAAAGAATAAATCATCAGTTCATTATTTTTTATTAAAAGTATATTGGTTTGTTTTTACATATTTTTATATTTCTCACAGGAACAAACAAAAGAAGGTGACGATTTTAAATAAGAATAAAATTTGGCACGTTTCTTTAACCTTTTGTTATCAGCATCGCCTTCAGAACTAGAGCTGTTCAATATAACCAGCACCACTATGGGAAACACCAAACTGCACACTTTTCGCATCTGACATCCGAAGGAGTGTTATTTGCTTAATAAATGGGTATTTTGTTTGTAGGTTGACTATAGGAAAACTTTCAAACAACAAAACTTCAAATGATGTACAAAACTATTTAACGAACATTACACAAAAACATAAAGAAGTCAGAATACATGCGCGTGGCTAGCTTATTGAAAGAAATAAATGCCCCCTTCCTTCTCCTCACCGCGTCACTGGATAACCGAAAGCGCGTGCATGCGGGGAATAACCGGGAATAACTGATCGCGGCTCCGCGCTGCTCATGATCATATCTGACGAGCGTGATTTTAAAATTTCGCGCGGTTTCGAAAAACGGGACAATTTTACATCCCGATGATTTCTTCGGAGACAAAGGGACAGCTGTCCGAGAAAAGGGACAGTCCCGTTCAAAACGGGACGTATGGTCAGTTTAGTAATACCCCCAATGCTCACACTTTGATCTACTATCATCTACGTTTACGTGCAAGGCGGAAATAATCGCAGCAGTTCGTGAATTTCTATTTTCTATTCTATATTTCTCACCGACCATTATTTTAGTAATTAATGTTAATAAGCTTAGCTGACCTAGCTAATTAAAACTCGTTTTTGAAAGCAAACGTCGTAATGGGAAGGATGAAATCGCGAATTTCTTACTATACTGGAGACAATTTAGTATTAGACAGTAGTAATATCCACTTTGTATTGTTTAAAACATTATTACAACCCAATAACCTTTTTTAATGTTGGATTGGCATTTATATTGATCATTTATGTAAATTAACGAAATTGTAGTACATTTCCGTACTATCCTTAGATATGGATAATACATAAGTACGAAGCATGAAATAATAGTACAAATACTATAATTATAGTACAAAATCATACGCTGCATAACGGGCAATACGTTATTGTTAGTTATTATGTTATAACAGTTTTTATGCTAACGAATATCTTTTTGTATGTCTTGTCGATATTTATGGTGTTCATGGGCGGACCCGGCGGTACGGTAATCAATCACTTACCATCAAGTCAGCCTCCTTGATGAAACACACATGATCACAGAGTACCTAGTACCTACACTATCATAATTTGGAATTAATGTTGTTAAATGATAATTTTTGACAGTCACGTGGAATGGACATGTTATATCACGGACGTCGGACGTTACTATTGGTCAAGTTACGATAATTTCTCGCTAATTATTATTCAATATTAAGTACCTACTAACCTCTATCAATCTTTTGCGTCCGGGCCGGTCGAATTCTTGTTGGAAAAGAAATCTATCATATATATTTACGGTAAAATTTTTAACTTTTTTTTCGGTAAGGTTTTTTGTCGGTACAGACAGTGTTTCTGATAATAGTATTCTAGTAGTAAAAGTGTTTATCTCAATGTATCACATTTATTTGTTAAATTGTTTTGAATTTAAAAAACGTAAAAACAAATTTTTGTCATCAATCACATTCATTTTCCCATTTATATCAATGTTAATTTGGTGGTACCCACCGTAGGTTATGTCCATTGCCGGCGTTGTATTTCATTTAATTGTAAGTTATTTAGATTAAAGATTATTCATTGAACTATAAGATAAAATTGATCACCATATTTTCCTAGAGTTGCAAAATATTATTTAAAATATTTCCTATACAGAGCACAAATTTTAATGACTATTTATTTAACACTTTTTTTATTATCATGAAAGGAATATTACACCTATTTATGGTTATATCCTTTTTTATGTGAAAAAGTGGCAAACGAGCTGGCGGTTCACCTCATGTTAATGCTGCCACCCATGGAGATTTGCAACACCTTTAGGGTTGCAAATGCATTGCCACCTTTAAATAGCGGACCCCTGTTACCTCACTCACCAGACGAAACGCAAAAGTGTAACATTTCTACTTTACACCAGTCTTCTGTGAGGTTGTGGTATTTACCCAGGTGGACCTGCCCATTCATGCGACAGTGAACACTGTTGCATGGCCACAGTTTGTTGTGTGGCCCCACCACAATATGTTATTCACCAGATGTTAAGCACTTACTGCTACCCATGGACATCTACAATGCCTTAAAGGTTCAGGGTGCACTTCTTGCTAACCTCACTAACCCGAGAAAATATAAAGGTGCAATACTTCCATTTCAGACTGGTCTTTTGAGAGGCCGTGGAATTGCCCTATATGAGCCTACCCTTCATGCAAAAGAGAAAGCTGTTGTATGGCCTACACAAAAATTATTATTAATAAACTGTACAAGCTTTTTAACATTGCAGAACTTGAAAATGGATTCATTGGAGTTAGTTTCAACAAATAAAATTTTTGGAGGGATCCAAAAAGTTTACTCTCATGAATCTACAGAGTTGAAATGTAAAATGAACTTCTCTGTCTATTTACCACCACAAGCCGAAGGAGGGGATTTGAAATTACCTGTCATTTTTTATCTTTCTGGCCTCACTTGTACTGAGCAGAATTTTATCACCAAGTCTGGTTTCCAAAGGTATGTTCAAGGAATTTCTTTAAACACTGAGAATATGTGGAACATTCGCTTAATCAATTTATTTAGAATATTACGAATAAAATTTTGAAATATAATCAAATATTTTGGAACAAACTAATTAATTCTGCCCACAACTACACTGCTTAGAATAAGTAATTCTTTTATGGGAAAATACAACATTTTTATAACAAAATCCCAAAAAAACATTCACAATGTATCAATTGCTACATAAAAAAAATATACAGGAATGTTTGAAAAATATACAATAATGGTAAAAAAAATCCTACTGAGATTTTTTTGTCAGTTTTTCTTTTCTGATCCGATCATAGCATTTTGAAAATCAATAAGCAAGTGTAATGCTTTTATATTGAATTAAGATATTTGAATATATTAATAATGCTTGAATTAACTAAGATTTGATGGGCTTCTTGTTATTAAAATATGATAAAGAACCTCTTTGACCATTCAGCATATTTTTGTAAATTGTGATTTTTGGTAATTGTGGATTTTAACATTTGATTTTAGATGAATACATACAGCAGCATGGTTTTTTTCACATTGCTTTCAATTTGCTAATTTAAATACTTTCAAAGTCATATTAATGGCCATGTCATCATGCTTGGGATGCATGATATAATATCATCTTTGTTATTCAATGACCTTTATGCCTTAACATTGCTTATGTCAATTCTTTATCTATTAGTAAAAAGATGTATGTTTTTATGACTACTATAACTACTAAGAATATAAGAATACTATATTTTTTTTTAGATATGCAGCTGAACATGGCATAATTGTTGTTGGACCTGATACTTCTCCCAGGGGAGTGAAAATACCCGGTGATGATGAATCTTGGGATTTTGGTGTGTCTGCTGGCTTTTATTTGGATGCTATTAAGGATCCCTGGTCCAAGTATTATAGGATGGGTAGCTATTTAAACAAAGAGCTGTACGAACTGATTCAAAATGTCTTCAGCATTGTAGTTGATCCAAACCGCATTGGGATAATGGGTCACAGGTGATAATATTTATATTCAAGTAAAGTAATATGAATATTTTAGTATATACTACTTCCATTAGCATGGCATGTAATTTTGTTTATATACCTTTAATATAACTGTGCGCAATGCACGTTTCAGTGTGCTGGTTTGGTAAAGAAACAAGAATGTCGTGAAGACAGAAAGAACACTGTTTATTTTCAGACGTTTGTACAAGTTTTTTCTTATGCAATAAAACGTTCTTCTAGTGGCTGCAGGCTCCTCCTCTTCCAGGCTGCAGGGCTTCTTTCTTGCTGACTTCTTCTAGTTGCTTGTTCCACTGGTGTCTTGATGCTCGTCGACTGCGATGATGCCCCGAAACGTCGCTATATTTATGTGATCCTGTGGGAATTAATTTCTGCTCTCTGATTGGTTGTCGTATTGGTATCCAATCTGAGAGCTTACATTTTTTCTTTGGCACCCTCTTGGTGCGTTACCTTAAAGAATTCGAGGTCTTATGACTATATTACAAATAATTAAATTTAATTAATTACGATGACACTATGAAAATACACTTTTTCCCTAATTATTTTATCGTTCTAATTTTACAACATATGTGTTAATAGTCATATAAAACCAGTTATACAATTAAAATCTTATAGTATTTCATTATACAGACATTTTTATAGGCAATCTAAAACGCAAGTTTTAAGCAATTATTTCGACTTACGTTACATGAATTAAACAGTAAATTACTTATACAAACACTATTAAACTAAGTTATCCCGCAAAATAACTACTTGTGATATATAAATGTATCCAGCTTTCAGCAGCACCAAATATAATTTCAACCCTCAAGATTACAATGTAAACACTAATAAAGTGTCACAATAGTAATAAAAATAAGTTATGATAAATCTCGTTTTCTTATGGAATATGGGTCACAAAACACCTTTATATGAATTGTTTCTACTTTTAAAAGTACCAACCTCATGGCATAAACCTGTCACTAAAAATAAATTGAATATAATGCTTTACAGTATGGGAGGCCATGGAGCGCTTGTTTCAACATTGAGAAACCCAGGATTATATAAATCTGTCAGTGCATTTGCACCCATTTGCAATCCCATTGCATGCTCTTGGGGAGTGAAGGCATTTACTGGTTATCTTGGAGAAGATAAAAATGAATGGCAGGAATGGGATGCAAGTGAACTTGTTAAAAAGTATAATGGACCACCACTCACACTACTTTTGGACCAGGTAAATTATTAAATTGGGTACTTACATTAATCTCTAACTGCATGCCATATTGGGGATTCTGTTGCCAGATCTTTGTAAGATCTTTCTCATATATGTTCTTCTACTGTATAAAAGTATATCACTGCAGATGTCACATGTTTTGAATATACTTACTTTATATTTCTAAAACACCACTTTCTTCATGCTTGTTGATAAGTAAAGGAGAGTACATTGATATTTACCTATTACAAATATTTCTTTTGAGTTTAACAAATTTAGTGTTCACATGATTTGTGAAACTTTTTGCAGCATGGGGTTGATCGACAAACCTAAATTTTCATCCAACTGTCAAGTGAGGTTTACTTGCAGCATATGTATTTTCCAGCTTACTATAATATAGTAAAGTACCTAATACTTTTGTTTGAATAGGGTGCTGCAGACAAATTCTACATTGAAAAACAATTACTTCCTGAAAATTTAGTGAAAGCTTGCCAATCTGTTGGAGTGCCGGTGATATTAAAATTGCGTGAGGGATATGATCACTCTTACTACTACATTTCAACATATATTGGTGAACATTTTGATTTCCACGCTAAGATTTTGAAGGCTTAATTATTATAAAAAAAGAAACCATTGTTACCTTAATGTTTTTTACATATGCATTTTTTATATGGTATTTGTAAACTTTGCATGTAATGCAAATATAAGCAGAGATATATTAGTTGCAATAATGTACTCATAATACTTGTATGATCAGTGTGGTGTTAATAATTTATAAAATGAGAATAATTTATTTTTTGTATATCTTATATTTGTTTACAACTTTTAAAGTTTTTTATAGTGCTAATCTCTGCACCTAAGATTGAACATTAAAACATGTAGAAAAAGTACGAAAAGATTGTCGCCGCTGTGGGAATCGAACCCACGTCTTCGGCATTCGCGGCCTGACGCTCTAGCCACTGAGCTAAACGGCTGATAGCCACAGCGACGAAAATCTTAACGCCTTCTTTCTACATTGTTATTTAGCATTTGAAGCAATGCTTGGCGAATCTATTGTTATATCCTTTCCAGCATACAAACAATTTCGAATATCGTTTTACAACGATAATTCGAACGAGAGATGTCGCCATTGCTTTTTATAAATTTTAAAGTTTTTTATAGTGCTAATCTCTGCACCTAAGATTGAACATTAAAACATGTAGAAAAAGTACGAAAAGATTGTCGCCGCTGTGGGAATCGAACCCACGTCTTCGGCATTCGCGGCCTGACGCTCTAGCCACTGAGCTAAACGGCTGATAGCCACAGCGACGAAAATCTTAACGCCTTCTTTCTACATTGTTATTTAGCATTTGAAGCAATGCTTGGCGAATCTATTGTTATATCCTTTCCAGCATACAAACAATTTCGAATATCGTTTTACAACGATAATTCGAACGAGAGATGTCGCCATTGCTTTTTATAAATTTTAAAGTTTTTTTATAGTGCTAATCTCTGCACCTAAGATTGAACATTAAAACATGTAGAAAAAGTACGAAAAGATTGTCGCCGCTGTGGGAATCGAACCCACGTCTTCGGCATTCGCGGCCTGACGCTCTAGCCACTGAGCTAAACGGCTGATAGCCAATCCGACAATCTTTTCGTACTTTTTCTACATGTTTTAATTTGTTTACAACTGTTCAATAAACAACTCTTTCTTTTGAAATATTTTTTTATTCATTAATAATGTTTTTAGTTTGCCTTTAATAAAGATAACAAAATAAGTTATTTTTATTAATTAATCTTTGTATTAAATCATTAATAATTTCTATAATTACTGGTCACTATAATTTGCTATCTAGAAGAGTCTTTTCTAAGATAATGATAGTATTGTAGGAATTTGTCTCGATTTCCCCATACATGTCCACCCCAGTAACACCAGGCTCTGTTGAAAAGTTTGCTGTATTATTCTTAAGTTTAAAAATAGTACTCAAGTTACATCATATTTAGACTTACATTCCAAATAAAGCACCACCAAGATGTGCTGCATGGTCAAAAAATTTCCAACCAAACAATACACCAGCAAAATCTACACCCATGATTGCTTTAATAGCCTAAAAATAAAGTTTTTTTATACAAGACCTTAGTGACTAGAAAGAAGTAAAAACATGTGTAACATAGATTTAAATCTTAAGTGTTCCTAATTGGTTTTTGAAAATTTTTTGTCTTTTTTGTAATTACATAAAACTACTTATATTTCATTAGTAGTATGAAGTATTCATAATTTGAGGTTTTCATGGACTTTACAACTATAGATACAATTTATGTCTTACCTAGATATTTATCAACTTAGTAATAAATTAAAAAAAACTACTTATAATACTTAATACTTACTGTACCTGCAGCAAATGTATACATTGGAAGAAATATTATACTTAATCTTGTGTCTGGATATTGCATACACACAAATGACAGCACAGACATAATTGCACCCGACTGCAAAGACAAAAGGCAATGGTTGAAAAGTTGTTCCAAATACATTTTCAATCATATAGCATTTACTTATTTAACTTACAGCTCCAAGGCTCATACCAGGTTGGTTGAGTGCTACTTTATATAAGAAACTGGCAAAACTGCTTATTACACCACCACTTAAATACATAGCAACAAATTGCTCCTTCCCAAGAAATGCAACTGCAGCTGTTGAATAAGAATATTTTGCATGTTAAGAAGCATGTGAAGTAATAATGGAATATACAAATAATTGCAAAACAATAAGTGCAAAACAATACCTGGCATGAAGCTGTAAAGAACATACATATTTGCTGCCAAATGAAGTGCTGAGTAATGGCTAAATGTGGAGAGTACCATAGGTAGACATATGGCACCTGGAAAAATAATATCACTATACATATATTTTAACTTAAACATGGTGCACTAAAAGCTAGTACTTTCTATGATTTAATACGCCATTTATAATGTAATAAGTGATGTACCTCTTATGCTTTCATTACAGATTTAAATTATATAGGTTTTTATAATAGAAATAAATTATAAATGGCAATTAACAAATGAGGCAATTTAGAAATTCATATATAAGTAAATAATATAATCATAAATATAACTGCCAATGAAAATCAGTCAAGAAATGTTTATTGTCTTGTCAATGAACTCTATACAATTAATAAAAGCAAAAATGTGACACAGTCATGTATGCACTTAAAAAATCAAAAACATATATCCTTGGATTTGTTAAAGTCCTCAGGTTCTAGACTGTTGCTTCTTTTATTTAGGACTAATAAAATATTTATTAACTAATAAAATTTAGGACTGATAATTTTATATAAATTATATGTGCATGTACATACTTCCAGATGGATTTGAACAGAAGTATTTGACCATGAATGGTTGTAATGATTTGACACGCCAGGCACTAAACACCAGTAGATTTGCAGCAAGAATAGGATAAAATACTTTTTCACTGGGTCTTAGTGAATTCCACCATTTGGAAATTGGATTCGGTTCTGATTTCTGGAAATTGATTAGGGTACAATTTAGCACTTCTTACAAAAAAGAATATTACATGGTTTAAATTAAACTTCATTATTAATTCACTAATAACATCAACCTTTTGCTTTTTACTTAAAGGCTATTATCCTCGAATAACATTTTATATGTTATTAATCCATTTGTAAGCAACTTATATAGTTTGCTATGAAATTTATACTTTTCATGATCTGCACTTTAAAATATGTAGAAAAAGTATGAAAAGATTGTCGCCACTGTGGGAACTGCGCTTTGGCAATTGAGAATTAAAAATCTCATCACAACTGAATGCCTAATTTATGAATGCCTCAAGAATTTATATCAGTCATGAATAATATTGTATATAATTAGTTTCTTACAAGATGTACCGAAATTTTTTTTTGTTGAGCGTTCAACCAGGTGCCAGGTTTTCTGAGTAAAGAAGCAGCATGAGCACGTAAGTTTTCATATTCCCAAATAACACAACCAAGAAGACTGCCAGTAGACACCTTAAATGGAAACAGACTTATTGTGAAGCATTATTTTTATATACAATATATATAAAGGAAAGCAGTGATGGCTTTAACCCAGATCGTATTCCAGAGAAAAAAATGTAATACAATGTTAGCACAGATTTTCTGTTCCCATATTTAAAAGCGAAACTGTAACGACATAAAACTTACCCCTAGTGTAAAAATCAAAGGTTTTAATAATCCTCTCGCATTTAAAGGTATAGAAGCATAGTTAAAATTTTCTAAGGGATTCGGTTCAAGCCTTGGTTGTCTTACTCCTCGTCGAGTGTTATGAAATGAATTACGGAGTTGAAGTCGTCCACATCCTAACCGACTTGAACTTAGTTTTATGAGCTCCGGTTTACTAAAACAGTAATATGCAATAGACAAATTGTATATAAATTAACCTAATGTCGAGTAGGCGCTCACCTCTTAACCGTCAACTCCCCAAATAACAAAACATTTCTGAAAAACATTATAAAATTTTGATAAAAATCCTTAAATTATATGTTGCATTTTTTCGAATAATAAGATCCGGATTTATACTTATGTTAACGTTTGAAATTTAAGTATAGAATGGTAGGTACGTCAAAAGAATTGAAATAATCAGTTTGAGTTTGACAGCCCTTATACTAGGTTTCCAGATTGAGTTTTCAAAACTCCCCCATAGCAGACCAAAAATAATTCCCAAATCAATGCTGAATGATTATTTTTTTATTTTCACTAATAAGAAAAAACATTGAAACCTCTGATTCATATTCTAAAAGTATAAAATTAACATTAAAAATTCCTTGTGCATGATCTTCGTTTAGTCTTTTTCGACGAAAGTGATTTATTTCTCTTTCTTTATCGAGCCCCAACCTAGGTCACTTACAGTTTGTTAAATATACAATGATACGCGGGACATTGGCATTAATATACAAAAGTGATATTACGATATAAAGTAACACATTATGCTACGTACATTTTTTATTTTAAAAATACGGAATTTTAACCACTGGCACGCCAGCGCCACGCGTTGTCAAATCGGTGTCAGGCGCCAGCGTCAGCGCGAGAAATAAAACATCAATAGACCGCTTCCAACTTTGGCGATAAAAACGCTTGCCGTTCGCAAACTACAAATACTATCCCAAAAAACGAGTCACAGTTAATAAGCTGAATAGCTAAGCAACCTACTTATCTAAAAATCAAGAGTTATAATTTTAATTTGCAACTCTAAAAAATATATTAAACTTGAAAAACTGATATGTCATAATAAAACATTTATTTGACTAAACACATCCCCTTTAACAATACTAAAATAGACAAGATTAAATATCCTTTCCAACAATACCAGAATCATTTTAAAACTTATTTACAATCATGAAGAAAATCTTAGAATAAATGAGCTACTCCCCGCTAGATAACGTGCGGCCTTGTGTGTGTAATTATAGTGAAAATGACAGCCACTTAGGGTCTTCACTTCAAACGAAGTTGGAAAATTAAACAACATATTTCTCAGAGTAATTTTTAATGGCTACTTACAAAATTTCACTTTATATAAGTTATAGATATTTTGAACTTAAAATTAATAACAATAATAATTTATAATTTTTTTTCTACAGCAGCTCTTTCTTGACGGAAGGCGACAACGCCGCAACTGCCTTTCAACACGGATTTGACTTAACCTATTACTGAAATAAAAAAGTCATATGTTACGTCTATAAGTTTTTATTGTGGTACGACCACGCAACAGTCTTCACAGTTGTACGAATGGTCAGGTCCGTTGGGGAATTACTGCAATCTCACAGAAGACTGGCGTGAAGTGGCTGTGGAAATGTAATACTTTTGCGTTTCGCCTAGTGAGTGAGCCGGGGCCCACTTTATTTTAAACGCGTGGAGGCAACGAATCTGCAATCCCACGAGTGATGCAAATGTCTATGGGCGGCGGTGTTCACTCAACATTAGGTGAACCGCCAGCTCCTTTGCTACCTTCTGACATAAAAAATAAATAAAAAAGAATTGTGATAAAACAAGATAAATACTCTTCAGAGGTCTCGGCGCCATCACGTCCTCTTCCTCGTCCTCTTGCACGACCACGCCCGCAACTTTCTTCGACGTTTCTTTCACTAAAATAAATGTTTCACGTGTACGTTTCGCACACACACACACACGCACGCACGCACGCACGCACGCACGCACGCACGCACTCACGCACGCGCTCATATATTTCATAGTTTTAAGATTGTTACTTGGTTTTTAAGATATTTGTGTAAGCTGACGGTATCGCCATCTACCTTTTTATATATAGGCTCCACATAAAATCAGCTTTCATGAAGTTTTTTTTTATTATTAAACTTCGTGAATTTAACGCTGAGTGGAAACCTTTTTGGTGCACTAATAAACATAACATTTTTTTTCTCTTTGTAACTAAATTACTGTGTATATGTTTTTTATGTGTTTTTTTTTTCGTTTATGTACCAAATAAATATTTTTCTTTCTTTCTTTCTTTGAGACTTTGGGACTTTCTGGTTATCATGGCTTCAATTCGGGCGCGTTAACAATAAATCTGTAGTATAAATTATTGATTCCATTCCCTAAATGTAACATTTTACCTAGGGACAGATATACGACAGACACGGTAGAAACTCCCGTGTAGTAGGTAGAAACTACCGTGTTTACATTACCTCCTATTATTAATATTCAAGCTATCGCGGCTTCATGGGTTTCACGGGTTTAACCTAAGTCTCGTTTAGGGAATTTTCTATAGCACATGGATAGTTTTCCGATTTAATTCCTGTAAAGCTTATTTTAATCCCCTCGTGTTTATTACAGTTTGTTTGAAATATAAGTTATAACATTATATCCAGATCAAATTTTATCAAAATGGATATTTAGGATAATTTATTTTTCTCCATAAATTCGAATTTCACCGTAAATGCTTTATTGTATAATCATACGGTTCATGTAATCTTTGCTTTAATTTAAGAGATTGTCCCTAACACAAAACATATATATATATAATCGGAATCTCGGAAACGGCTCCAGCGATTTTCGTGAAATTTAGTATGTGCATAGATTTACATACGTAGATTCGGGGGCGAAAAATCGATCTAGCTAGGTTTCATTTTTAGAAAATGTCTTTTATCCCTGGTTTTAGGGAATGAAAAATATCATTCGAATATGATGGTAAATTTCGCCGCAAAAAAAGTTTTAATAGCTCGGTCGGTAATCGGGCGGCTACGAAACAGAACGTTGGTTCGTGTCACGACCACTTACGCACTTATTTTTTTTTACTTTTTTTTCGATTTCAGATCATTGCTTTCTTTATTTTTTATTTTTGTCGATCCAGATGATTTTGTTCTTTTTTAGCTTTTTTTTAAAGTTCTTTCTTTTGTGAAAAACACCAGTTCATATTTTCTTATTATTACGTCGGTAAGATCGAAACATATTATACATATTTCGTTACTAAATGTTTTTGTATCTAAATGTAATTTCTAAAACACAAGATTTACCAAAAAAAAAAAAAAACAAACCTCTTCCTCCTCCTCCAGGTACTAGTAGTAATTTATAAAACATCATAGAGAATGTAATCACTAAGTTTATGTAAATGTAAAACATTAATCACTACGTTAATGTAAAACATTTCGAGGTCACCCATGAAACACTTTCGCTCTCAAACCTACTTGTACGGATACTCACACACACCAGTTCTGTCTTGAGTTCGGAGAACGCTATTTTATTTTAACATTTTCCGGTCGTGGTTTTATAATTTTTTTGTTTTGTAATTAGCCGGCCATTGCAATTAGCAACACCCGTAGGGTTACAGCTGAGTTGCCTACTTTTAATAAAGTGGGGCCTGGCTACCTCACCAGACGAAACGCAGAAGTATAATATTTCCACGTCACGCCGGTCTTTTGTGAGGTCCTGGTACTTACCCGGTCGGACCTGCCCATTCGTGACAACAAAAAAGACTAAACGTGGCTAAACAATTCATAAAAAAATTCCATCTAGTATTATATTACACTGGTAGATACATATTTTAGAGTGCAGAGCACCCACATTAAATGTTCTAATATGTTCCGGGCTTGAACTCCACACAGTGGCAGAACATATAGCGCTAGGCCATCAAGATAATCTAACATAAAAATCATAGTACTTATTGCGTGCGTATTATGATAACTCCGCAGTTGCTAAGCTATTGGCTTCGGCGATGTGGGTCGTGAGTTCGATTACCACACCTGATCTCTGTTATTACAATAAGTAACGTCAGGCAGGCGGCTGGTCATGAGAAACATAGTCATTAACTACATGGTGTACATGTTGTGCCGCCTCACAAATGTGTTGGATAAGGGCAAGAGAAAGAAGAATATTATATTACACTGGTATGTGTCTTTATTGGGTTTAACTTGGTCTGAGACTGAACTTTCACAAAGGTGCAACATCAAACCTATACCTAATAATTATAATATACTACGATAGTTAAAAAATAATTATAGGGTTTAAAAAAAATGATAAAACACAACTTCAATTAAAAAATAGAATCGCTTTTCAGTATTTCATAGGAGACTCTCCAGAATACTTTTAATATTTATTTGGTTTAACGACATGTTATGCTGCGAAGAGAGCAGTAGTGTTTGAAAATAATGTAGCAATTGGCAAACCACTTTGAGCTTTTAAATCTTTACCTTGGTTGAGAGAAGATTTATAGGCAAAAGGATCATTTGTAATATCCGTGCCTCAAAATTGGTTCTTTAGTCAATCTACACGGACGTCATTAGTTGTGATAAAGGACTTACCCTCTATCCTTAGCGAACGAGCAATGGCAGGACCCGGGAGTACCGAGCGTTTCCGACCGAGAGACCGTATGGAAGGAGAAAGAACTCCACGGGAGATTCTACAAGGCTCTACACGCGCCTTTCGTAGATACCCTCCCTTATCTGGATACGTTTCGGTGACCTCTTTGGGGAAACCGAAGGTTTTATCTGTGCGATACAGGATCAGGTTATTAAGACGAACAACTATCGGAAATACATCCTAAGGGATGGCACCGTCGACATCTGTCAAGCTTGTCGCCATTCCGGGGAGTCGCTTCGGCATGTTATCTTCGGTTGTTCCATGCTTTCTAACTCTGAGTATCTGCATAGACACAACCTAGTAGTCACAATCCTACACCAGGAGCTCGCCCTGAAATACGGCCTCGTGGAACGGAAACTGCCGTACTATAAGTACTCTCCGGAAGCCGTGCTCGAAAATGACCGCGCCAGGCTCTATTGGAACCGGTCTATCATCACCGGTCTATCCGGACAGGACGATTGTCGCGACCAAACCTGATGTCGTGTTAATGGACCGGGCACAGTCGCGGGTATTTTGGATCGACATTACCATTCCATAGCCATTCCATGCCGTGATAGCTCAGTGTCCGGGCGCTCGCCTTTAATTCAATATACTCGAGCAACCTGAGTTCGATCCCCGGTGCCGGCACCAATGAAGTTTTTAACTTTAAGTGCTGACTTATCACGTGCTCCGCGGTGAAGGAAAACATCGTGAGGAAACCTGCATATTTTCGAAATAATAACAAAAAAAATATATTTCGAAGATATGTGAAGTCCGCCAACCCGCAGTGGGGCCGCGTGGTGGACTATGCCCTGATACCCTCTCTATAGAGGAGGCCTTTGCCCAGCAGTGGGACATGTATAGGCTGTTACTTTACTTTACTTTACTTTTTACCATTCCATCTGAGGAAAACCTCGTGAAAGCCGAAACAGATAAGAAGACGATGTACCTGGCTCAGAAAGTGACCGACATGTGGGGTGGTGTGCCGACTGAAATTATCCCGATAGTCGTGTCTGCGAATGGGTTGATCCCAGTCAGCCTCTCCGGACATCTGAGGCGACTGGGACTCCGAGACGGAACGCTCCAAGCTCTAATGCAGAAGGCGGTGCTCCTCGATACCGCCCGCATCGTCCGCCGGTTTCTCTCCCTTTCACCTTAACCCTCGCCCGTTTGGTCTCCCCTGCCGAGGGCTTCCGTCTGGTTGGGTCGTATTTATATAATATGTATTATATACAATATTTATATCTACATGTTTATTTTTATTCATAATATTTATTTTATATATGCAATATATATTTATATGTTTATTTTTATTATCTATAAACCTAACCAAACGAGAAATCAAATAAATATCCCCAACATAATAATAATCTTTATTTGTCATTGAACTGGGTACTAAACAAGATGACGATATAGTGTTGTATAACAGCTTCTGAACTCCATGTTCACCCTTTATTTTTATATTATCAAAGTCAAACACTGAGGCCTGATTACTTCCCTTTGTAGTCGAAATTTTGTTGTTCAGGTGTATTTTATCACTAGGGTTTCGTAGTAAGAGTATCCAAAAACGGTAAAGAATGCGTCATTGCCAGCAAAAATTTCTTTTAAATTGACAGAAAAAACATTTATAAATATGCATTCTAAATACTTGTAGTACCAACTAGTAACCGCATGGCTCGAAAGTGCGCCTATAACTTATTACCCGTATAGGCACCTTCGCAAACACTGGCAAATATGGTGTTAACTAGTAATAATGTGTAAGGCAAAGGGGGTGCAAGAGAGGGGTTGCCGTGCCCTTGGCGCATGCTCTATTGTGACGGGGGCCGGGTTTGTTCGACCCTCGTTAACTTCAGTGTACAGCTGAGAGGCCCAAGGTGATATCTCGTGCTTCTTAAATCGTTCAGACGCTCCGTATTATAAAACAATACACTTTCCAAAAGTAAGTGTTCAGTAAGAAAATTATTATACTTTTCAGTGTGTGGTGCGACACATTTTTTGATTTCCATATATTGTTAAATGAACTCTTAAAATAGTCACCAACGTCCACTTATAATATAACGCAGTTACGTGGGATGTGGAAAATAATCTGACGCAAATTCTCGTTTCAGTTCCACTTTGTGAAACATCAATACCAAAATAGTCGATGTCTAGACCACGGTTTTCTATATTTAATTATTATGGGATTATTGAATGGTGTCAGTAATCGATATTGAAGATGCCATGTGGTTTCACCTCATCGAATTTTTGCTGTGTTCATTAACTTTTTCGTAACTAATAGCGGCATTTTGATACTTTTTGTTTTGAAATCTTGATTTATTGAATGATAATCAGATTCGAAAACGTTTATGAGCATTGCAATCATAGAACTCGTCATAATTATGAACTGTCTGTGATGTATTAGGTACATGTTTTGGCATCTAATGAGATATTTTTTTTATTTACAGAGATGAAGCGAAAATTATCAAATTCATATCTTCAAATAAAGAGGTTTCTAAGGGGGACAACGTTGTGACGTACATTCATTAAAATTCGAGTTATATTATTTTTAATATTTTAAACGTTTATAACTGTTAGGGAAAACACTTTTACTATCTTCTTTATAACTTTTTTCTTAAACCTTGTACTTAATAATCATTTTAAGTGAATACAACTGTTTAAATTTAATTAGGGTACTGTTAGCAACATATTTTAACATGTTTAAAAAGTTAAGCAAAGCTTCTTGTTAGTTGTTTCACTTCAAGTAAGAAAAATAAGAAAATTCTATTTGTGTAGGTGCTATAAAAAGGTAAAAGATTGTTGTATATTAAACGAAAAACAAAATAAAACTGGAAAGAGTAAATAATAAGACCATTTTAACAAAAGTTTGAAACTATGGAACCTTACGCCGATGAATTGTTTTGGTTGGTTATTTGTGGGTTTGTGGTGGCGTTTATATTAGCTTTCGGTATTGGCGCAAACGATGTTGCCAACTCCTTTGGCACCAGCGTCGGCTCCAAAGTTCTAACACTCACTCAAGCTTGTATACTTGCTACTATATTCGAGATCGCCGGTGCTGTATTAATTGGTGAGTATTTTTCTTTACACTCTCACGAATATACTTATAATTTACCAAGAATTGTTTATTGACTTGTTGGTGCTTAAAAATATCTTAAAGCATACACTTAAATTTGTAAATTTTTCAATACATTTACAACTTGCAAGCGGAACACATCCATGCTCCGCTGTGGCTTGTTTTCTTCTTTCTTTTGTTTCTATGTTGTGGACAAATATCCAGTCAATCCATCGGATGGTTTTTGCGTTTTGCGGACACAATTTTTCGAGATGTATAATCATGTTTCATTATTCATTAATCTAAAAACGAACTTGCGAAACAGGGTACAAGGTGTCAGATACAATGCGCAAGGGCATCCTGGATGTTTCACTGTACGCTGATGGCGGGGAGCGACTTCTAGCGGCGGGTTGCTTGGCAGCGCTCATTGCGGGTGCTGCGTGGCTCATCCTTGCAACGGCCCTTCGTCTGCCCGTCTCGGGGACCCACTCTGTCGTAGGCGCAACAGTGGGATTCACTCTGACTGCCAAAGGTCCCGTTGGCATTCGCTGGTCTACTCTCGGAGCCATTGGTTAGTGTTTTTTAATTATTTAACTAGTATTTTCAAATTTTTCACATTAAAGGAGATCATCATACAAGTAAGTGTAGTCTCTATGTCTTTTATTCATAGAATAATGTAAAAATTATTCATTTGCCAAGTTCAGTTACAACAGCAGCTGTTACTATCAGAACAGTTTAAGAACTGATCCGAATTCAAATGTTTCTTTTTGCATATTATTTCTAACAGTTCGATTTCCGAACCTTAGTCATGAAATGAAACTCGTGTTTTTGTTTTTTGAATTGCAGTGCTGTCATGGTTCATTTCACCGGCTTTAAGTGGTGCAGTATCCGCCTTGCTGTTTTGGCTTGTGAGACGATTCATTCTGCGCGCGCCCGATCCCCTCGTGTCTGGGCTCCGCGCCCTGCCCTTCTTCTACGGTGCAACTGTCGCCGTCAATGTGATAAGTGTCGTGCATGATGGCCCTAAACGTAAGTCACAAGTGTCTTAAGAATCCTCTTATTATTATTAATAAATGACAAATGGTTGTGATCGTAAATGATGGGCGCCATCTTTGGACATCAAAATATTCTTTATATTATAACTTCATAGATATAAAGCCTCCTTATCTTTTGTTCAGTGAAGGAGGTATCCCATGTGGCATTCATGGGACACAATTTTAAATACTTCACCTCGATCTATTAAGACGAGGGCCATAGAATATCCACAATTGACGCGGTCTATTTCTTTTTCAATCCTCAAAAATAAATGTTATGACGGTCACATATTTATGTTTAACAATCTATCAGCTAAACTATGATAGTTTAAGAATGTACGTAAGATCTTAAGTTTATGATCAGCATAGACTCATGCTAGGTGTAAGCTTTTTCAAATAAGTGTCTTGCCCGCCCTAATCAAACTCGTTGAGAGTTCGCACGTAGCGTATTTGCGCTTCTTTATAATATTAATTTTGACTTTGGACGGATAAGTTAACATATAATACAGGCTGAATATTCAGCTATGGATTACTTTGTGATTTTTCTAGTACTTTCCATGGACAAGATACCGATGTGGATAGCTTTGGCGGGCTCCATAGCACTCGGTGTTCTCGTGGCCGGTCTCGTACGCCTATTTCTGGTGCCGTATTATCGCCGATGTCTGAGCCCAGCCGTCAACTTCACACTAGGACAATCGAACGGTACGCATGTGTGCTTTTTAAAATTCCTATACAGGTTTTTTTAATGTGAAAAACGAGCAAACGAGCTGGCGGTTTACTTGATGTTAAGAGACGCCGTCCACAGAAATTTGCAACACCAGTTGCAGATGTGTTGCTACCTTTTAATAATGTGGGCCCCGGCTACCTCACTCACCAGACGAAACGCAGAAGTGTAACACTTCTACTTTACGCTGGTCTTCTGTGAGGTCGTGGTACTAACCCGGACGGACCTGCCCATTCGTGCAACAGCGAATACTGTTGCGTGGTCCTACCTCAGTAAAAGTCCAATCTATAAATTGTACTAAACCAATACTAAAAAATAAAACCTTTAATTCACCCAAGACAATATTCTTGGGTGAAGTAAAGGGAGCGGGCGTGATAAGAAGGCGTACCCATTTATATTGCCGAAAGATAAATAAATAGATATTGCTTATTACGCTGGATGTTATTCTCGTATCTCATACGACATAGTAATAGTGAACATTAAAAAATGGAACTATATTTACTGATTTATTGCCTATATTTTTAAATTGGATTTCTGATGTTTCGAATGCTTTACAGCATTCTTGGTCTATAATATTTGCGTATAAATACATACATAAGAAATAACCAAATATTTAACATACTTGAACAATAATCTGTCAGTTGCAATAAAAGAAATTTACGAGGCCCATGGTGACCTAGATCTGTAGACTTTAGTAGAGGCCTTCGGCATCCCCTAATCAGCGACACGAATACATAAAAAAATTAGGTCATGTGGCCCAGGCTAAAGCCATTTCGCCCGAAAGCCTCGTTTTAATTATTCGTTTCGTGAACGACTTTTAAAAGCAGTAGAACTGCTAACTGTAATCACTTAACTCTTGCGTTAAAAGACTATTAAACTATTTTTTAGTTAAAATAATAATTTTTACTTCTAGAAACTACACCAGCAAATACTCCAACTCATTTTAACAAAACCAGTATGCCGCAGCGTCCAACGTCTCTATTATCGGACGACGGGAAACTTCTCGAAGCGATAGCGGAGAGTGCTGAAATGGTGACATTGAGCGACGCTGACAAATGTTCCATGGGTGTGAGGGAGATGAACGCGAGGAACCGGGCGCTGCTTGCCACTATGGACGATTGCAGCATCCTCTCGAGAAGCTTGAGCCCTCCCAACAAATCTCGGCTTCAGTTGATTGACGCCGATCCGCAGATCAATACGTTGAAGTACATCGACGAAACGATAAGTTGCTGTAAGAGTTTGGATTCCTCCCAGCTGGCCGGTATGGGCGAGAGCTACGGTTCTGGCTCAAGGAATGGATTCCTTGGCGACTCTTGTGATACGATAGCCCGTGGAGAGTTCAATAGGTTAGCTGCTACGAAGGGTCTGCCACCTGCTGCCGAATTTGATACGCCACCACCTCGTCTCGATAAGGTACTTTCTCCTGTACTTGCGTTCGTGACAAATTTTTATACGAAAGTATAACCATCCTGTTACGAATTTAAAGCTATTATTAATTATTAATGTCAGTTGTTCGACCCTTATCACAGCTGTTGCTTCCATTAGGCTGGCCGCAAATTAAATTTTATCATTTATGTCTATTTTTATTGTAGTGTTCGTAAGCTTTGTTTATTTTATGTTAATAGTTCAAAAAAGAACAGGCTGCTCAACTGCTGACTACAAAAATGGGTTGCAGAGACGTCGCAAACCATTAAAAAAGTTGGTCAGTTACCCCACTCACCAGACGAAACGCGAAAGTATTCACTGCCAATTCTAAATGGAATCAAAAATGGGCGTTATTTTGTGAAGGCCCCGGGGCTGTAGCCCCAATTGCCCTCCCCTAAATCCAGCCCTGCATCGGAACTGCGTGCGTGTCGCAGGGCCCCGACGGTGGGAGCGCTTGGAGCGTCGAGTGCGACGGACGGGCGGCGCGGCTGCCCGCGCTGACGCCCAACTCGAGCGCGGCGCCGCTGATACGGGCGGCTAGCCCGCGCCGCGCGCCGCCACCGCCCCCCCCGGACACGCTGCGCCTGTTCTCGTTCCTGCAGGTGCTCACGGCCACCTTCGGCGCGTTCGCTCACGGCGGCAACGATGTCAGGTACGCTAGCACTCGTAGCACCCGCTTGTACGCGCTTTCGTATGATGTACCGGCTACGCGATCGGCGTCGGGTACTGAACCAGCCTCGTGCGCCAGAGGGTGTGGGTTCGATCCCCACCACTGGAAAAATATTGTGCGATGAACATGGTGTTTGTACAGTGTCTGCGTTTTCGTTTGGCGATTTCTTTTTCGTGTTTTCCAGTGTTTATATATGTATGATAGTATTTATTTACAAAAAAAAAAGCTTGTTTAAGTATATTTATCAGTTTTCTAGTACTCATAGTAGTACAAGCGTTGCTTAGCTTGGGACTAGAGAACGTTGAACGTGTAAAAATGTAAATAATAATTATTATAATACATTACAATATAGTGACTGAGAAAGCGGATCGCTTGAGTGGTTCACCCCACGGACATTTACCAACACAAGGTGCAGTCGCTATAGGATTGGAGTTTTGGTTATAATATGCTTTATTGATCACCACAAATCAAAACGAAATGTTAAAAAAAATTTTATTAGGTAAATGCAATAAGGCGGTATTATCGCTAAAGAGCGATCTTTTCCAGACACCCTTAAGCTAATCGAGTTTATTATAAATTATATAAAATAAATACATTATATGTTACAAAATTACTATACAGCGTGTTGTTACCAACGCGACAATAAATGAACACACATATAGAGGATAACTTTTTTAAATTGTATCAAAAATTGACATTCTTTAAACATCAATCTTTACAGAGTTATTAAATTTTCCAAAACAATGAATTTTAGAAAACCCTTACCTATAAAAGCGTAACGTAAAGTTCATTTGTAAAGGTCACAAAGCACATGAATGGGTTGAATGAATTTAAAAGAGACAAAACATACTGTTAGAAGGAGAGGCTTGTAATGCGTCGCCGTGGCATCGAATGAAAAAGTCTCTGAATGTATGAATCAGTCAGTTGTAGTTGTATAGGAAGTTTCGAATTTTGTTTCTTTTTTTTTTCTTAATTAGTTTGTTTGAAAAATATTTTTTTTAATTATGGATTTTTTTAACGTTAATATTTTTTTATGATTATTGGCAAGTAGCGTTAGACGTGTGTTCATTTATTGTCGCGATGGTAACGACAAGTGTATAATACATAATTATGGCTTCTTCAGTTTGAAAATGGTATACGTAACGTCTCGTAATACTTTATGCCTGCCTGTAAATCGCATGCGTTTTAATAGAGTAGTTTTAAATAAATTATTACTTTTGTGGTTTTTTTTATGTGACAAGTTTTTTTATGTTAAAAAAACACAAAAAAATGTTTGTGTACCGCAGGAAGGCACAGTGTGATTACTCTAATGTATTTTGAAGCGCTCGCTTCTGCTGTCGAAACGATGGTTATATCCGAACCTATCTGTTGTTTCACTCATACTTGTAGACTTTTCAGTTGACTCAATCTCACTATTGGCCGCAGCAACGCCATAGGGCCGCTGGTGGCTCTGTGGCTGCTGTATTCGGAGGGGGGTGCGCACGCGCGCGCCGAGACTCCGTTGGCCATCCTCGTCTTCGGAGGCGTCGGCATCGCCCTCGGCCTGTGGCTGTGGGGCCGCCGCGTCATACAGACGGTGGGGGAGGACCTCACCAGCATCACGGCCGACACGTCGGTGCCCCTTCCAACTCTTTTTTAATATGAGATGGTGGCAAGTGAGCTGGTGGTTTATCTGATGTTAAGTGACAACACACGCCCGTAGGGTTGTAGATGCGTTGCCATCATTTAATAAAGTGGGCCCCAGCTACCTCACTGAGCACACGAAACGCGGAAGTATAACGCTTCCATATCACGCGGGTCTTTTGTGAGGGCGAGGTACTTACCCGGAACGACCTGATTTTCCCAATAGGCAGGCCCAGTCCCAACAGTGGAGACTGTTGTATGGCTCTATCTATTGTCATAGCTATGATATAAATGACTCCGTGGCGCAATTGCGACGGTATTAGCTTTGACGCTGGGGTCGTGCACTCGATTCGTGACAATTATTTGTGTGAGTTTTGGGTCTGAGCGTTTGTCCACGTGAAATATAAACGTGTAAAACTTCCTTACAATACTGGATAATGTTATGCTAAAGTAAAGGGCAATATTTACGATGGGAAGTACTTCTTCACAAAATACAATACAATAGCCATAGATAGCGTTTTATTACAGTGAAAATCTTGACGGCAAGGATGGAAGCGTTCACTGTATAATATGTGAAATCTGTTTAATTGGATAGGGTCAAATGTGGATTAAAAGGACGAAGACCTGCTTAGTGTTTAGTTGTCTGATGATGGTAAGGGTGGAAGCACACTAAAAAAGGGCTTGCTGTAGAGAAAGCACATTAGATGACGCCAAGCGTTGCTAAAAACACAACAAAAGGAAGTTGAGAAGTCGTGATTTTCGCGCGGTGAAGATGTTGATCGCTTAGCTTAGTGTTTAGTGTCTGAACGTGTAGCCCGGAAGTCACAAGTTCGAACTCTAACAGTGGTAAAACAATCTGCAAGATACCTGTTTTAAGTTTAATCTTAAGTTTAGCGACTATCCTAAACTTAAAAATTATATTGAAATTTATTTATCAAACTACCAGTTGGGAAGATATACCATTATATTTGCATGATCGTTATGTTACATTGCTGCTGGGTCAAGCCCGTTCGAAACGAAAATCCTGGAGCAGCCACTGCTTGCAGTTTTCTGTTTTTTTTTTTATTAAACAATCGAATTGCGTTTGCAGCGGATTCACCATAGAACTGGGCGCTGCGTTGACAGTGCTGGTGGCGAGCAAAGCGGGTCTGCCCGTCTCAACGACACATTGCAAAGTCGGATCTGTTGTTTGCGTCGGATATTTCTCGGAGAAAGCAGTGGATTGGAGTTTGTTTAGGTGGCTTACCTTTCATGTTCCTATTTGCAAGATTTTTAAAATACGAATTATGTATAGGTACTAGTTTTCCCGTAACTCGACGAATCTTATTTTGAAGAATAACGGTGAAATGCAGTCAACTTCGCTGCTTCATTATAAGAAGCTTTTAAACGAAAGTTTTTTTTTAAAGCAAACATTAACTTTATTATATTTGCCTATTTTTCATCAATAGCGGCAATAGCGGCAAACATACTTACAACCTAAATTCTTCACCAAAAATATGGAAGTTACGGCGTTCGGCAAAAAAATATTTTGAGGGATAATAAAGAGAGATTCAGCACGAATATCGCTTTGTTTGCTATTATTTCATAATCTTTTATGCCATATGAAATTTAACATGAAATTTAACGCTTAAAAGTTTAATAAATGTTTAATGTCATTTCAGAAACATCATATTTGCGTGGGTTGTAACTGTGCCAGCGGTCGCGGCAATGGCGGCGCTTTCGATGCTTGCTTTAGAAGCCTTCGTTGTTTAAGCATATCAGACTCGCCGAAATATGAGTTTTATATTACACAAAAGTACAAGTCAGATGAATGTTGCAATGTTCCAGGCGTCACAAACTAGCTACATGTTAGGTGTTAGTTTTGTTCATAAAATAGCCCCATTATTTATTCCAAATCCATTGTAGTAACCAAGAACTTTATGAAATATTATTCCATGGACTTAGAAATGTTATTAGAAATGTCGTTTAGATACCTGTACCTTAACACTATTATGTAACTTGTCGTATGCTCCACCTAGTGTTTTAAGTGATGAATTTATCAATTACTAGCTGACCCAGCAAACGTTTTTATGCCATACAAAATATTTCTAGGGAATTTGTGAATCTGAACACATAGAAAAAGAATTTTCGGACCGCACCCATAAAATGTTTGACAGGTAGGAACAGTTTGTATGGGAAAATAAAATTGTTGCTATTTCGATTTTACATGCAATTTTTTCATAATTTCTCATCTTTTAAACCTTCCCGGGACTGCCACGACCATTTTAAAACCAAAATTAGCCGAATCGGTCTAGTCGTTGTCGAGTTTTAGCGAGACTAACAAACAGCAATCCATTTTTATATATAAGAAGATTATGCTGGACCAAACAACAATAGGTTTTAAATATATTTCGACAGTCGAGTCTATTTATTTTTACTGGACGAAATACCACATTATGGGACATTTTATTTAATTTATTTTAAACATTTCTTGTCTATATGGGTATGAAACTCAACGTATGCTTTTATTCGAAATACATAGTAACTGCGTCATATAAAAATCGTTCGTTCCTACATCTGTGTAATACTAACATCACTGCAAATTACCTTCTATATTAGTTAATTTATTACAGAGTTACTAATATAAAAAAGGTCAAAGGCATAGCTGTTTTTTTTTTAATAATTAACCTTTTTATCGTTCCTTTTTTATAGATCATGTTTAAATATATGTTTTACCTACTTTAAATACGCAAGAAATAAATATTCAGTGAACATAATAACATTACCTATTGTAACTGAACCCCCCTTCATGCATATATATAATTAAACTTATATATATTTCTGCCCCGTTATACGAACAAATCATATAACATCATTACGTGACCAGGATAAATTATTGATCTTTCTATAGGATCTTTCTAAAGGTAATAATTAGCCGTATAAAATATTATTCTGATCGTCATATTCGGTAGGACCTCATTTACGTTGTGTTTATTTAGTAACTTGATTCTTTTAGGTGTATCTTGGATAGATAATTATTCACTAATCGTGGTATAAGCCAGAGATAATGCTAGATTGCTTTCTTATTAACTAACCCCGGCTCGCTTGAGACGGGCTCAGAGTATATAGTATACTCCCTCTCACGCTTGTAAAGGGCTCACAATATAATTTTCAACTATTATCCCTTCTCTCTTGAAAAGGGCTCACATCAATTTTACATACCCGATACAAGTCAACAGCTCCCCCACATTTTAAAAAAAAAGTAGGGAAGGCACACGGCTCCATGAAAACACTCACCAACGCCGTGTGCGGTGAGCGCCAACCAACATATTGCCCCCCCCCCCCCCCCCCCCCCCCCAGAAGAGGGACAAAAAGTTGGGGAAAGGACCGAAGTCCATTGCAAAGCTGTTTTACCAGCATAAAGAGGGCTTGGCCCCTTGGCAGTGCGTAAGCACAAACTTTGACCGAAGTCGCGCATGTCAATGCGTGTAAACGTCATACAAGCCGACGACAAATCCAGTCTTCGTGAATGTACGTCAATACGGTTTTGGGCATGTGTTAAAGATCAGGCACTCTGGTCCTATGATATAATAAGCCCTCCGTAAGCGCAACCACTTTTGCCAGATCGCCGCGACTGCAGACGTGATTGTTAGTGTTTTGGCATCACCACCATTAAAAAGGTTAGCACGACATTTCGTCGCAGAGCGCGTTATGAGTCATTGCTCACCCCAAGGGTATGGTTAAAACGTTGCACGGCATCGCCGCAGCCTTGAGAGGTTTTACTCCCGCCAGCTACCATCCACCTGAGGTAAACGCATATGCTCCACCAACCATTGAAATAGTCAGATATAGCCATAGTTGTGATTTTTATGTTTAGCCATCAGAAGGGTTTATAATTGGCAACATATATTTATTTGTCAGTGTCTCTGACGTTGAGTATAATGTATTTTCGATCAAGTTTGTCTCACCCACCAGCAAGTTGCCATTATTCGTTCGAACGGTGGGAACTTTACTGAGATTCGTTAATTATGTTAAAACGTATACAGGAGGTCAGACAGTCTGCAGTTCCGTCATCAGGAACCCGACTTGGACAAATCTACTGAGATATGCATCAAACCGAGACGCAGACTCGGCCATTATGAATAGCATCGCCTCCCAAGCAAATGTCGTAAGACGCAATGTCACTAAATGCAACATGCATCAATACAACTATCGCAGGTCAACACGCCAACATACAGCCTATCCGCATACACAGCAGACATCATCACCTCGAACCTCCGTCAACCAGAATCATACGATGCAATGATATTAGGTGCAGATCACCCCGCAAATACCACAAGACTGCATATAGCCGCATGCATCAATGTGACTATCGCGTAGGTAGCACACCCTCACACCACACCAATATAACTCCAATCAACTTCGGCTCCAAAGTTTAGAATATACTAGGAACACACGAAGTGTCCAAACATACTCTTTCACGATCCGAATGATAGTCGACGTATCATAGCGTAAACACTAAGACGCCAACCATCAACGGACCCCCACCCCAGCCAAGTAATAGCCAACGTATCATAGTGGAATACACTAAGACGCAAGCCACCACCAGACTCCCCAAAGTCAGATGATCAGTCGACGTATCATAGTGCAACACACTAAGACGCTAACTACCACCAAACTCTTACTATGCCGAATGTCAGCTAACGTATCATAGTAATGGTCACTAAGACGCCAACTACCACCAGCTATCGACGATATGTCCACCACTGAAGACATATCCATTCATGGTTCCACGTTTACCGTAGACCATATCGTCGTACAGAAGTACCATGCAACTCCATAGTAATATCTCTTATAAAGTCCCAAGTCATTCATTGCTCTTCATTATATTTATATATTTATTATTTTTTCTCTGAGCCTTCACATATTATTACTTTTATCCATTAGACCTTACTTCCATATGATATTAGTATGGGAAGTTCATACAATGTACTTTCACCATAGTACTAAGAGTCGCGATCGACCTCTGTACTTATATATGTACGATCATACAATTGTGTCCCCGCACGGTACATAATACTTCCCTTAGAAATCACTAAGTATGGAATTGTGTTTAATGGACATAATAGTGATCGTATCTTGCTATATTTTTAATAAATATCCTTTTTTGAGTATTTTAAGTGATTTTTAACTATTTTTTTATCAATTTTTGATAATATCATTTTCTCATACTAACACTTATATTTCTTAAATTTAAGTATATGTTATTTACTGTTATTGTGATTAAACGTTCTTAAACGTTTTATTTTCATCTTAATTATGATTAATTAATAATAATGTTTATTATTATTAATAGGGCGTTACACTATGTAAAATTCCAAATGCTCATCAATATGTACGTACTGTGCCTCTACGCATTGTGATGAAATTGTTAATTAAAGTCATATAAAGATCGATAATGTTGTTTGACTTTTTTAAATTTTAAACAAGAATATCTCTTGGTAAACTGAAGACTAAATTCGTAAAATAATTGCTATTTCCATTTATAAAAATATAACAAACGAAAAACGAAACTTAAAAGTTTCATCTTAGGTGCATAGACTAGCACAAAAAATAAGAATTAATAAAAAAAAAATTTAAGGGCAATGGCGACATCTCTCGTTATAATATACAGCGTTGTCGTTAACATCGCGACAATAAATGAACACGCATATAGGGGATAACTTTTTAAAGTTGTATTAAACATTTAAATTCTTTAAACATCAATATTTACAGAGTTATTAAATTTTCCAAAACAAAGAATTTTAGAACACCCTTACCTATAAAAGCGTCGTTACCATCGCGACAATAAATGAACACACGTCTAAATATTAACGTTAAACAAAATCCATAATTAAAAAAAAATATTTTTCAAACAAACAAATTAAGTAAAAAAGAAAAAAAAATTGTAACATCCTATACAACTCGCGTCACAGCGCCGTATTACAAGCCTCTCCTTCTAACAGTATGTTTTGTCTCTTTTAAATTCATTCAACCCATTCATATGCTTTGTGACCTTTACAAATGAACTTTACGTTACGCTTTTATAGGTAAGGGTGTTATAAAATGTTTAATACAACTTTAAAAAGTTATCCCCTATATGTGTGTTCATTTATTGTCGCGATGGGAACGACACGCTGTATAAAACATTTATAAAAGTAATAGATACATAATTTCTTCTATGAGCTATTGTTTCTTTTTTATTATAGTTTATTTTTATACTACCTCAATAGTTGAATTTTTACAGATTTTTAGACTGTATCCCAAATTTTTTAGCTTAGCATATGGAAAAACTTCTACACTTTCATTCAAGACTTCAAGTTTTAACTTCTCAGCCAGAGTTGCCAACTTAGGGGTTTTCCCCCCAAAATTAGGAGGTAAACAAACGCGTTCGGCTTTTTTTAGGAGCGTTATATTTTTAAGGATTTTTGGTTTCTTATATTTTTTTTCTGTTTTATTTTTTGTTATTTTGTTAGATTAAAAAAATTAAAGTATAAAATTAAAGCGCCTTGACTAACGCAATCTACCCAATCATATTTACTTGTTGACCTAGCTACATCTAGTACGGTTTTTCATTACATTTTATTTAACTGTGGTGGGGCCACGCAACATTCTACGTTTTAGCACGAATGGGCAAGTCCGTTTGGGGAAATACCACGATCTCACAATTGTTGGGGTTGGAAGCTCTTTTTCATTCGTCGTACTCACCAGACCTTGCAGCTACTACTCCT